GCAAACAGTTAATTTCACCATTGCGACTACTTCTATTTCAAAATCCATTCTTTCCTATGATTTGTGTTCAAATTATGTATTAATATTAGAAAGTACTGCTAATATTTTTTTAGTCACAATAACCTATTAAGAATTGGTCTAAGACAATAATAGAATGGCACACTCAAGTAGGTTTTATTTGCTTTGCCTGAAAGCATACAAATTTTCTTCTTAGCTCATGAGTCACCATCACTATAAGTTCTTCTTTTTTTTATTACTATGCATAGTGTAGATGTTTATTCTGCAAATAAAACAGAGTACATAAGCTTAGTTAAAATGCAAAAGAGGCTGCAAATAAATAACAAACAAAGAATTGCATTCTGAATTTATTGCTCAGAAAATAGCACACTGTCCTTTTCAAAGACATTTTCTCTTTAAAAAAGAATGAGCGTTTCTAATGTGTTTTATTTTTTAAAGAGCTGTTTGTCTTGTTTCTGTTTCTGATTACATTTGGAAGTAATCTAGCAGACAGCTTGGAAATGGAGAGGAAGGAATTGAATATACTGTATCTCCTCAATTTCAGTTCTGCCACATCAGTGGACCAGGAAGCACAACTACTTATGGTTCTCTATATTTTTGGTGTCTTTTGGTGTACAATCTCCTTCACTGATCTGTGAATTTAATTTAAACCTCTGGAAATTAGGAGGTGGAGAGGAGGAGGAGGAGGGAAGGGAAGGAGAAGGAGGGGAAAAAAGACTGTAACTGGGGCTGCAAGAGGAGAAAGGATAAAAATTCCATTGAATTTGTTTAACTGGTTCTTAGTATTCTTAGTAACGTACTGTATTTAAATACTATCTGTAACTTAAAAGACATTCATTCTCTGTTAATTAAAATTTTAATGTCATGTTATCCATTTTTCCAGCTCAGTTTTAGGATGTGGACCTAAATCAGTGAAATGCTATCTTGGTTGCTGTGTTTCAATCTTAGGTTTGGGATCCTCCAATACTAGGTTTGAGATCTTCATCTAGGTGGCACTGATGGGTCAGTGCCGTATTTCCCTACTACAGTATCTTAGAAGTTCAATAATCTTTCAGAGCATGATTGAAAAAAAAAGTAAGAATCAAATAGATGAATATTGTATTTGTATTTTTAAAAAAGGAGGGCCTAAAATAAGCATCCACTGAAAATTTTTCTTATGGCAGCTGAACACTGGCAACCAAAGATGACTTTTGTAATTATTTATCACAAATATCACACAAACCAAGATCCTTTAGAAACATACACCTCTTTTATCAATTTAAGAAAAAAGATAGAATTCTTCTTAAACTGACTGCTATTAGCTTTTTTTTTAAAATCAGAGTCTTTTACTGAGGTGAACTAGTTTTAAAATATTAAGCAATATACTAAAGAATTTTCAAAACTGGAAGCAAATTCATAGAGAGGAGCTGTGAAACTTTAAGATTCTTTTAAAAAGTGATAAAATAGCACAACTGTCCCTAAGGATTTCAAAAGTAATACAATATTTATTTTAATCATGAATCTTCTACATTATCTAACACTTTATTATTCTGGCAAGATAGGATCAATAGAGTTATCCAAACAAAATGCTGTAAAATTAAGAATAAATTCATTTGTAAGAATTTGGCCTTTTTGAGGTTTTTTTTGCTCATAAAATGCTCCTGTGCTTTTAGAAATTGCTTAGTTTTAGGCAATTCCCAGCCTAATATGGAAGCTATATTAAATTGCACTCTACAAAGTATACCATATCTCCTTTCTATTTTTTTAAAAAAAACTTTTTAGCTGGGTCAACAAAGATTCTGAGATTCTACTGCAAGTTATTGAATAAATAAGCATTTAAAAGCTCCTCACAATTTTCATATATATAGCAGAACAAAATAGAGTTTCCTTAAACACAGGCATATAAAGTGAATATTATTTTTCCTTTTTAATATCCTCTGTAATTAATATAACATTTTGCAGCAGTATGAAACGGGGCAGTACTTGGGCTGCACTATTGAGTTAGCTCCATTCCTAGGGAAAGTTGCACTTATAGTTTATTTCTACAGTGAAAACAGCTATTGGATTTTCAAAAATTCTCCAGGTAGCATTTCCATTCCTTATAATCATTTCCAGAGTGCTCTTTGGTTTCATTGTTCCCAAGTTGCTTACTGTATTTCTAAAAAAAGAGAGACCACTTTAGTTTACTTTCTAAATATTTATTTTTATTTTGACAAGAGGAAGAGAAATGATTTGTTCCAATGTTAGAGATCTGCAAAAGTAAAAAATGTACTTTGCATAGAATCTATCACAAGTAAAAACAAAATGTATTTAGATAAGAAATTACTTTGATGCTCCTCCAATCCTTAACAGACTGAAGATAGAATTGCCATAAGCCGTATGAATATTGCCATTATTACACTATGCTTTTGTGAATTTTATCACGAATCTAGAAGATCACCAATCATGCATCTGTTATCCATGTTCTAGGTAGATTTAGATTTTTCCTCTCCATCTTCATTAATATATTGCACAAATAATTGCACAAATTTAGAAAAGATTTTGAATTACAAGCTGAATATTATATTTCTGTTTTGCTTTTGATCTGCTGCATTCTTTCCACAAGTTCTACTGACCTACTTCACTACCTCAAGCTTTCCCCATCACCACATCTTTGCTTCACACTAGTGGTGGGTTGCTCCCGGTTCAGTCCGGTTCTTGTGAACCGGTAGTAATGGAGGCGGGAGGCTCCACTCATCCCCCCCGGACATCATCATGGACGATCTGCGCATGCACAGAAGCTTCTGCGCATGCACAGAAGCATGCACGTGTGCCTGCGTGCGAAGCACACTCCCATTGCAAACCGGTAGTAAAGGTAAATGGAACCCATCCCGTTTCACACCTACGTCTCCAGCAACTGTCACTTCAAGAACTACAGATAATTTGAACCACATTTGAACCAAGATAAAAATATCAGTTAAGGCACAAAGCTAACAACACACAAATTAGTGTGATAATGCTGCATTCTCATGCCTGCCCCTACCTCATTTTTTTTCTCCAGCATACATGAGACAGCATAAACTGTCTCAAAAACAAGAGTATTTTTTAACACTAGTCAGAATCAAAGATTCTGATCCTGGTTGCTTTCAATTATAATGTAAACTAAACTAGAATTCCAGTTCTAATATCATACTCCGGCTACTTTAAATCAGGAAGCATTTTTTTCAGTCTTCTCCTTGCAGTTGTTTTAGGTGATTGAGTTCATGAACCAAGGAATATTGCTGTTGTTCAGTCAACACAAAATCTTGATGAAATCTGGAGCTAATAATTGTTCAAAACAATTGAACATTCTAACCCCTGGGCCATGGACCAGCCCCAACCCACAGCCTGCAAGGCAATGCAAGCAAGTGAAGCTCCATCCACAGATGCACGGGATCCAGGCAGCATGTGAAACCATGACCCCGGTCCATGGAAAAACCATCCTCCAGAGAACTGGTCCCTGGCACCCAAAAGATTTGGGCCACTGTTAAAATATTATGTGAAATGGTCTGAAAAGCAATATAGAATTCAGCATGCTATTGCTCTACCAGCATCATTTGGTTAATAATAAATATGATGATAACATGTCATATCATACTCCCTCTTCAAGTTTTTCACCTGTCTGCTCCTTTTTCACAATCATCCTTTATGCACATAGCAATAAATATGATAGATTCCATTTTATGGGGTTTCAGATTAAAACTGGTCATGTAAACAGACAAGAAGGATAGAAAAGAATGGTAAACTAGAAAAATGAATAATTACTTATAATATCTCAACTGATTTTTGGTTAACTGATCAAACTGATTGATTGATTAAGGGCCATCAAGTTGTTGTTGACTCTAGCACCCACATCTCTAGATGTTGTTCATTAAGATCTGTCCCTAGCTTGGTTTGCTATGTCTTCCAAAAGTCCATCCACCCTGCTACTAATTGTCCTCTTTCCTTTTGCCTTTCCCACTATTAAATCCTTCTCCATAGCCCTAGATATTTGTATACTGTGTCCAAAGTATGGCAATTTGAGCCTGATCATTTGTGCCTTGTATGAGAACTTTGAGTTGATCTGTTCAATGACACACTGATCTGTTTTGTTAACTATCTACCATAGTATTTTCATGACTCTTCTCCAATACAAATTTCAAAAGCAGTAATATTCTATCTATCCTTCAATTTTTGTTTCCACTTTTTTAATCTTATTTTCTGAATTATAGTCTATAGTTTAGTCAATGTAGTAAAAGACTATCAATTCTGTAGCTTCAACTTAAATTTAGGAGGTTATTTGTAAACTAAGCATTAGTTTCACAGTAATATACTGGTTCACAATGAAATATTACATTTATCTTTTTTAAAGTTAATTACATACATATATACCTCTACATTAACAAGAGCAGAAAGTATTTTTCTATTTTATGAGAGAACCAATTTGTATAAAGAATTTGTTTATCAAAATAAGAGAGTATTTTGTTATAGTTAACATTGACTGAATTAGTTTTGATTGTGCAAATGCAATTTAAATTCAATATAAAATATATTAGTATAAAAGATATACTAACAACTTGTATCTTGTCCTTATAGGAATAATGGGGCTCTTCTGAAAACTGAAGCAGTTACTGCAATAGCTCTGTTGACTTATTCTCTTTCTACTTCCCTACATCATCTTAAACCAGGCAGGTAGATGCAGAATTCAACTACCAAAGGCACAACAGCAAATAGCATTCAGACACTAACATTTGCATAGTGTCATGTTTGTTCAGTTTTCTGAAATGTGGTTATTATGCGATGGAAACTGATATTTCAGTGTAGTTGGTGTTCTCAAATCAAGAAAGCTTTTTATTCAAAGGTTAAATTATCAATATATAATATTTTGGAAATAAAATTAGCTATACTTGTAGTCTTTTGAAAAGAAGAATATAATAGCCATAATCCTTCCCTTGCTAAACATTTATGAATCAGTGGTAAAAGAAAATGAAACATATTTTTCTTACCATTTTTACTTATGTCAAGTTCTTTGAGATTAACTAAACTGGCAATGCTGGTTGGCAGGCTTGAAAGGTCATTATCTGGGATACTCAGTTTACGTAGAGCTTGACAGTTGAATAATTGCTAAAAAAGCAAAAGAAAGATGGTTATAACATTTCTCATAAAATTTTAGTATGTTTTAATGTTTAGAGAAATTCTATAAGATAGCATAAAACAGAACATATATAGTATCATCGCCAGTAAGAATCAGTAGACATATTTGAAGAATTTTCTCTTTAATCTCTTTTATCATGTTTCTACTTCACAGCCACAGCGAGAGAACATTATCTTCCACATAAAAACAGTAAGAAGATATGTAACTAGCAAAGAGAGGTTAATAAGGTTTTTCTCTTAACAAAGTTTCCTAACAAGAGTGCAAAAAATAGAAGGGTTACTGAGAAAAACTTGGGGATACATATGATTTTGCAGACTTTTAAAAGTAAGAAGAGGGACACATGCTTATCAGGAGATGGTCACCTTAACTTATAATTACCTTAAAAAGGGAAATAACACCACTATTTAAAATTTATATCATTTTATTAAAGCAGAAGCAGAATCTTGCTGCTGTAGGATTTGCAGGTTTGTCTGAGTCCGTTTTGATTCCAGGTGATTGCCTAGACAAATCCCTGCTATTTTCTTGCCTGCATTTTCAGAAATGGTTTGTCCTTCATTCTAGGGCTGAGCTAAAATGACTGGCCCAATAGCTGGTTTTGTGCTTAAAGCAAGACTAGAATTCACAGCCTCCTGATTTTTAGTCCAGTGCCTTTAACCTTTACATCAAACTGACGCTCATAGTAGAATTAATAAAACTTATTATTATTCTTAGAGGGTAAATATCTAACCTATGGGAAATAAAAATTTGTAGAATTTATATTGAATAAACTGCAAATGAAGATTTCTGAAATATCTAATATGTAGATTTGCATTTGCATAACTGCCTTTGGTATATTTCATGAAGTGACCTATTTGTTCAAAATGTATTTCTTTAGAAGTCTGAGAACAACTGAATAAAAGCCACTCTTTGCCACAAGTAAATGCAGCAGCATAGTGCAAATTAATTTCCATTACGAAAATGGTTATCTTAGGAATAATGTTTTCATCCACCTTTTATTGTGAAATAAATAATAATATAGCAAATGTGAGAAATGTTATGAAATTACTTGTAACAGCCTTTTTATTATATATATTTTCTCAGGAAATCTTATTTGTCCATAACCGATAATGATCCGGAACATTTAAGTTTACATTGCTGATATGTGCCATGTTTTTCCAAAAAGATGACCCACCTTGAAAAGAAGCCCTATCATGTTTTTGAGCACATGCAATCAAATTAAGCCCCACCTATGAAATTAGCCCTAATTAAGACCCCATCCACCCTGGGGTGCAGGGGTAGGGCGAGGCACACAGGTAAAAAATAAGCTAGGGTGGGCGGGGTGGAGCTGCCCTACTTACCAGGCCTCACACACCCCAACACCTGTCTCACCTTCTTCTGCCGCCACTTGCCACCACTCACATGCATCTCCCTGGCCTCTGTTTCACCTTCAGATGCCTGCTGGCATCTGCAGCTGATAAGAGAGCTCCAGGTCAATCTCCAGCTCTATTATCATCTGCAGAGGGCTTTCTGGAAGGTATCTGCAGCCGATAACAGAGTTCAGGATTGATTGGGAGCTCTGTTATCGGCTGCAGATGCCTTCCGGCAAGCATCTGAAGGCGATACAGAGGCCAGGGTGATGCTTGTGAGTAGAGGCAAGCAGCCGCAGAAGAAGTGGGCCAGCAACGAGCTCCTGCTGGGTGGGGCTGTCGGTGCTACCGTCACGAGGTGAGTCAATAATTAGAACCCTCCCAAAGGAAGGCCTAGCTGTTTTTTCAGGGGTCAAAAGAAAATAAGACCTGGCCTTCTTTTTGGAGAAACATAGTAATATGTCTTGTCTAGGTTTTTAGTTATACTGGGAAGAAAACAAACAACAATAGCAGAAATAGTAGAAAGCTGTAACAGAAGTATTCATCATGCTGGGAAAATTGCATAGATGATCCATTCAAGTCACCAGGAACTAAACTCAACTTGAAAACAACTTCAATCTGTTTATTCTTTTTAGACAGAATGTCTACACTGCCAATATTACTGTTAGCATAAAAGTAGAGTGAATATATATTCTCAGTATAGTGTATAATTCTCAACTCTGAAAGGCATCTCATAAGTTCCATAGTTGGAAAAGATTGGCATTTGAGCATGTTTGAAAGGAGCTTTATGACAATTAATGATTCTAGTCTTGAAAAATATAAATGGTCATTATAGCCTTGTTAATGTAATTCTTGATCTTAAGGAATGCCAATAAATCTTTGGACTTTAGCAATGTCTGCTCAATTAATATGTAATAAGTTGTTATGCTTAATTGGTGTATTTGTGCCTCAATGACTTTAAACTAAGCAGTTCAACAAAAGCATGTGATTTTAAAATGTTTTTATATGTCTGGAACTGTAGGCTTGAGCTGTAACAGAAAAATGGCAAGGATTATTTTTTTCAATTTAAGGTCAGCACTTGCTGATAAGGAACTGTTAAGAACAAAGCTTATACACATAATACACATTGTATCAGTTAAAACTGGAGGATTTTTATTTATTTGTATACTGCCTTTATTATTTTTATAAATAATTCAAGGCAGCAAACATACCCCACACACCTTCCTTCTATTTCCCCCCCAACAACAACCATGTAAGTAAACTGAACTGGGCTGAGAGAGAGTGACTGGCCCAAGATCACCTAGTTGGCTTTCATGGCTAGAACTCTCAGTCTCCCACTTTCTAGCCTGGTGCTTTAACCACTAGGCCATACTGGCTCTCATATTAAGCTAGGATTACCCTTTCCCCTTAAAGGGAAATGACAGGAAGTAATGATATTGACCAGGGGTGGGTTCTAATTTTTTTTACTACCGGTTCTGTGGGCGTGGCTTATTTTGTGGGTGTGGCTTGGAGGTCATGTGACTAGGTGGGCATGGCTAGCTGGTCAGAGTCATTTCTGGAAGGTCCTCGCACTTACGATCAGTCCTCGCACTTACGACCCAACTCATTTGTTTGCTTTTAACACTGATCAGCTGTAGGATGGCCCTTTGAAGCCCCGCGGCAAGAGTTTAAACAGTTTTTTTCCCTCTAGTCATCAGCTGGGACTCAGGAGGCAGCAATAGATTGGGGGTGGGACCAAATAAAAGGTAAGAATAACGTGGGTGGGTGGGTGGGTGGGAGGGCGGGGGGGAGAATCGGTTCGGTGACGTCATATCGTTACCGCTACTGGCTCGGCCGAACCGGACCGAACCGGGAGGAACCCACCACTGATATTGACACTTTAAATAATTTCTAAAGGACTTTTCTGTAGACCTGGGATAGTCTATATAAATATTTTATTTTTGAGCTGTGAGGTCTTATTCCTCCCAATATTGTCTGCTTGACTTTTCACAAGAAGCCAAGGTTTCCCAAAATGTGAGGTGCAGTTCCTTGAACAGGTGCAAACAGAGTCTGGGGGGTAGGAGTGAAGAAACTTTTTGTTACATTGTAAAAAGTGTCTACCTTTCCCAAAGTTTTATTGCATTGTTTATTATTCTCATTTTCATTTTTGTTCCTGTTGGTGTTTCTATTTTTAGGGGAAGTGTGTACATTACGATTATTATACTAAAGAGAACTGTGATGGCATAAAAAGGAATTGTAGGAAACCAAGTTTCTGAATTGCTTTGAATTATCTCATTGGATGCAAGAAGTGAATGATTTTTTAAAAATACTTATTTTCCACTGTCCACCTATGAAGCTGTGAACAATTAATTTTTATAACTGCAGCAGATGTACATTGACTTGGAGAAAAATAAATGGAAATGGCAGCAATTGGAGCCCTCGGGTATACTACTGTAGGTGATGAAACACATATGGCTTTTCAAATGCCTCCTATATCCATAGTTATTGTATTACTGTGGGTATAGCTCATGCTTAAGTTCTAAATAGACAATAGTCCTTGAAGAGCAATTGCATTTGGAATCAATGCCAATGAAACACACAGGTTTAATAGAGTCAGGTGGATTCAGTTAGGAACAAATGGTATGTATCAATGCAACAAACTATACAGTACAGACTATCATAAAATCTCAAATTTAGGTTTTGACGTAAGATAGATCTAGTGAAGCAATGAACATGAGGAGAAAAATGGGCTACATTCTGCCAACACTCCTTATTAATTTTGAGTACTGGCAGGGCATTGCTCACTACTACTTGCTACTCCTACTCTTATTACCACTGTTCCTGCTATTGAGATAAACTGAGTTCATTTTCATTGTATTAGATTGCATGGCAAATACCAGAAACAAAAGAACACTACTGAGTTTTAAAGTAATAGTTTAGTAGTACTAAAATTTGATATATACTTCCTGTTCTATAGTCAGAGAAACAGAAATTCCAGATCAGGGAGATAAGCAGTTTTTTTTTCTCCTCATAAACAGAAAATTAAAAAGTTTCCCATTGCTGCCAACAGAGAATAAAACTAACATCTGTCTTCCTTGAAATTGAATCCTAATGGACCTGGTCATTCTTGACTTGTAAATTTCACCAAGTCAACAATTAAATTTTGGTAACCCGCCACCACCAACAATTGTTATTGAAAAGGGTTAAAAGCAACAGAAGAAAATAGTTCCAAGATCATGGTTATGAGAATGTAATACACATTGTATGCCAGATACTACAGAATGTAAATTGAAGGGCCTGTTGCATTTATATCAGGAGTGTTAAACTCAAGGCCCGGGGGCCAGATCCAGCCCGCAGGGTGCTTAGATCTAGCCCGCAAGGCTACCCTGGAAACAGTGAAAGACTGGCCTGTGGTGTCTCTGCCCGTGAAAACAGAGCTCGGGAGGGCCACAAAAACAGAGCTCGGGAGCCCATTTTCATTAGCAGAGCGCTCAGGCCAGCACAGGTGCTGACATGAGTGATATTGAGCTGGCCACGCCCACTCCAACCTTGCTCACCTCAGCCCCCTGAGATCAAACACAACCCTAATGTGGCCCTCAATGAAATCGACTTTGACACCCCTGATTTATATCATTAGAAGATTTTCTATTACGATATGCCTTCATACTGAACAAAAACATTCGTGTGTACTTAGCCATTCGATAGCAAAATGATGCACTGGAATATGATAGTTTTATATCACCTATAATTGGTGATATAAGAAGAATTTTGTCCTAAGTGCTGTTATGTTGCCTTATTGTGGAGAAGGGAACAGGTGTGGATCCGGAGGGGAAGAGTGAAGAATGCCAGGCGTGGACACTAAGATGTATATTCCAAGGTATGAAAGTTAGCCCAGTTTCTTAGCTAAATTAAGCAGTTATCTATATTCAGCAGCAGCGATACAGGCAGATGGTGGAGGAGAATGCTCACTTTAGTGACAATGTCAAAAGTATAAGAATAAATATTAAAAATAATGTACTACTAGTTTTAAGATATAAACTATATTTTGCTGAATATACATTGCTTTATGCTATTTTTTTAAGCCAACAAGTGTTTTTAAATAACATCTTAATATGGTATATAATTACATAGCAATGCACACTATGTTAAAAAGAGAAAATATGCCTGAATCATACATCAGAAATTGACTTCCATCACACTTTTATGAGACAGAAAATTATGATCTTGTATCCAGAGCCTTCTCTATAAACAGATACGTACAGCTAGGAAATGACTTGGTTATGTATATCACTTTTCTATCAACCCCTGGAGAATATAATTAAATTGTTCCAGTTGTTCAATGGAGTGAAAACGTCATTGCAGCAAGCATCTGAACTGGGCTATAAGGATAGGAAAAGAGCTAAGGAAAGCCTCAGTTTAGTCTTGGATGGATATTTCTAATACTATTAAGTTAAACAAATTTAAGTTCTACAGAATATTAGGAGAGTTTTAAGCACAAGTTTAATTTTATTGTTGAAATTAATGGGAGTTAATAATTAAGGTAATGAGTTATTAATATAGTCTTATTTACAGGAGAGTAAGACATATCAAAATCTGTAAAGCTTTATAGTAAGTAAATATGCACTATTTTGAATATGTATAATCCAAGTTGCACATTCTGTGCATAAAGAATATTTAATGAATGGATAATTAATAATACAAATGGTAAATGTCTTGATAAGTAATGAAATAAATCCGCATTACACAAAATACCTGTATGCATGTATGTGCTGATACTGTTTACTTTTTTTTATTTAAGAGTGAAAAGCTTTCAGTCATATTTTCTTTCTTTCTTTCTTTCTTTCTTTCTTTCTTTCTTTCTATCAATCATTCAATCAATCAATCAATCAATCAGTATAGCCATCCATCTAAACAAGATGACTCTGGGAAGCGGCCAAAATTAAAATGAAATAAGAACAACTGCAATAATACAAAAATTAAAATACATAACAGTCAAAAAAATATTATATTCTTTAATCACAAATACCACCTAGAAATGAGTCCCTGTCACACTAAAGACACTAAATCAGTGGTCAAATTTGAACCAGTTGGCTGCTGATTTGCTGGCTGCACATGCGCACTGCACGGCAAGTGCGTGCTGCACAGTTTGCATCAAATGCGCACTGCGCATGCATGCACACTACATGCCATAAGGAGGCTTGGGAAGGTAAGTAGAACAGCGGGGGGGGGGAGAAATCAGCTGTGCCACGCAATCATCGGAACCTTTTTTAAACTTTTTTAAAGTATTTTTTACTACCGTTTTGGGCGAATAGGTAGTAAAAAATGCTTTAAACAAGTAGAAAAAAGGTTCCGATGATCATAGCTGTGCCGTGCGATCATCGGAACTTTTTTTTTTACTTTTTTAAAGCAATTTTTTACTACCTATTCAGCCGAAATGGTAGTAAAAAATGCTTTAAAAAAGTAAACAAAAGGTTCCGATGATCGCATGGTACAGTTGTCCTCTTGGAAATCTTTTTTTAACCTTTTTAAAGCATTTTTTTACTACTGGTTCGGCAAATAGGTAGTTAAAAATGCTTTAAAAAAGTAAAAAAAAAAGGCTCGAATGATCACAGCTGTGCCGCACAATCATGTGAGTATTTTTTTTTTTTACTTTTTAAAAGCATTTTTTTTACTACCTATTCACCTGACCCGGTAGTAAAAAAATGCTTTAAAAGTAAAAAAAAAAAAAGTTCCAATGATTGCACGTCACTCAGCTGATCGTTGGAACTTTTTAAAAACATTTTTTTACTACCAGTTCAGTGAACCATTAGCATTTTTTACTACCGATTCAGGCGAACCGGCCTGAACCGGTAGCATTTCACCCCTGCCCTAAATCCATCCAAAATCCCCCAAATTTTATTCCATTATTTATATTATTTTAATTAAAAAAAATAAAAGGGACGCTGACATGACGTAAACTTTGTTTTCAAAACTACCCAGCACATTCCTGGAACCAGTAGATAAGGGCTGCAAAAATTCCAAATTTCCCCTCTAACCAAAAAAAAAAAAAAAGATTTTGGGCCTTTGCAATAATCTCTATTCTTCTGGGGATGTCTCAGTATTATGAATTAATGGAGAATTTTGAGTCGATGCACTTGCAGGGACAAAATCCAGTTTTATCTTATTATGTAATCGTTTTATATCTGCAAGCAAAGCCAACAGAAGCATCTTTTCTAAAGACTAGAAAATGGGTTATTAGCTGCCACAATGAATTTTGCCTATGCTGAATGTTCTTTTCATAGAGTATGCTTCAAAAGTTCACTTAGCTAGACAGCTGCATTTACATATTATAGAAAGAAAGCATTTACCTTAGGAAGTTCTTCAATTTGATTGGCATCCAGATAAAGCTCCTCTAATGTCCGTTCAAAGTTAAATACCTCCTTTGGCACTTGCTGAAGGCTGCAGTGGGAGTAATCAAGCACTGAGATTATTTCTTCTTCCCCTCGAAAACATCGGCATGGCACCAGGCGGCCAATAATTTTCCTTTTAGTTGTCATCTCCAAATGCCGCACTAAAATAAAAAAATAATAAACTAAATTATTCTCCAAAATCACTGCTCATTTGAGTAGAAAAACAATTAACCAATTGTCCAAAATCACTTCAGAAGAGAATCAACAAATTCTAGAAAATAGTAGCCCATTTCTTTGAACACAGAAAACCACTATCAATTTACTAAACACTTTTTGTTCGTTGCTTCTAACTTGGTGATGGTTTTTGTATATAGCTCATAAACTAATGTAGAAGATTCCAGGCAAACTCCCTAGAACCTGTGAATATGTTGTTCTACAGTTTCCTTAAGTACGGTTACTGTGTATTTAGATTCAGAAAGCCAAATAACTGAATTTTTCTTTTTTCTTTTTAATCTATACCCAGAAATATGAGTAAAAATTCCAAAACTAATTGAGAAAGAAAAAAATTTAAGATGTATGTTGAAAGTATAATGAATAAACCAGGGAAAGACTGTTTCCATAATTTACAGATGATTATAATTTGAACATGAATCAATTCTTTATTTTACTTTCACTACTCTACAAGACAAAAATATTTTAATTTAAGTAAAGTATTTTATATCAAGAAGAAGTGCAACTGTTATAATAAGTAAACAAATACATCATCCAGAGGTGTTCATATGTGCCTGCTTTCATCAAAACAATGAAAATAGCATGATTCCGTCAGCTTTGCCGTTTTTGTACATATATCTCTTGAAGCTAGTAACTATCATTGAGGAAACCCCTACAAGGGAAAAAATGGCATCTGTTATCTAGATATGGAGAAAGAAATTTGAAAGAGGTTCAAAGATGCCTATAGAGAAGGGAATAGTAGAGAAATCTCAGTGGGCAACAAAGTACACAAATGGGTGCAAAACTCAGGAAAAATACAAAGAACATTTTATAAATAAAAGGAGACAGGCAGAAACCTATGGAAATACTACCCATTTATTCAGGCTTGCATTGTTCTTCCTGATAGTGAAGAAAATTGTTTACAAAAATAATTTAATTTGAACAACTGTAATGCCATTATACATCTTACAGAGAATAACTGAACTGATGTAATAGCAATAGCACTTAGACTTATATACCACTTCATAGCCCCCTCTAAGTAGTTTACAGAGTCAGCATATTGCCCCCAACAATCTGGGTCCTCATTTTACTGATCTCGGAAGGATGGAAAGCTAAGTCAACTTTGAGCCGGTCAGGATCGAACTGCTGGCAATCAGCAGAATTAGCCTGCAATACTGCACCACCACGGCACTTCAGAATATCTAACCTGCCATTAAAAAAAAAAAAAATACAATAATAGATATGTGGAGATTGTTGTAAAAAATAGCCAGGTTTTTTTAATAAGAACATTCTTATTCTGAAAAGTAACCAAATTTTAGGAAAAAAACCCATTATTTTTTATTATTTACTATTTTTTAAGTGAAAAGTCTCTAGAGCAGTGGTCCCCCTAGAGCAGGGCTGTCAAACTTGTGGCCCAAAGGCCGGATGCGTCATACGCTGGCCACGCCCACACCTTGTTTAGTGAAGGGGGAAAAAGTCCTGATACGTCATGTGATGCCGCTGTGACGCCGTGAGTTTCACACCCCTGCTCTAGAGCCACGGCCTGTTCAGAACAGAAACTTGCAAGTGGTGGGTGAGCGTGCACATTGCACACACACATTTGTATGCAAAGCTCAATTTGTTCAATATTTGTGCTCCCTGCTTGCACAAATGCACCTGCCACTCGCACAGAACCATCCCCTCTCCACTCCCCACCAGTCCACCAAGTTTGAAAGGTTGGGACCACTAATCTAGAATCATTCTGGAGTTGGACAGCCTGCAAATCTAAAATAACAGCAGGAAGATGCCATAGTAAGAGTAAGAGTAAAACAACAAGGAAAGTGTCTATGTGCACTGTTGCCTACAGTTTTTCCTCTTTATTCCCCAGTATAGCAAGCACTACACCATAAACATGATTGTATTTGTCTCATTTGATATGGAACTTCATTGAAGTAAAAAATATTGTTTATAACTGAAAAATACAAAAAAATAAATCATTATTTCAAAATAGGTGTTAATGTGAGGGAAAATCCACATCAGGATATATTTAAGAATTATCACTTCATGGCCTTATAAAGTTTATTATATGGTATCATACTGGAGAAACCTGTATTAAACTTGGTTATAGACATCATGATTACAGATATTTTAAGTTATATCCCCCCCTAATTTTTTTTTAAATTACTGTAGTAGCTGTTTCACTACACTGTCTCCTCATGAAAAGCCAATTTTTCCTACAGTTCAAATATTTATGGCCCAATTCCTCCTAATTTAACAGCAATTTGAACAAGATTTATACACAATTTATTTATCTTTCTTTTTCCTAGACGGTTCCAGAAAAATGACTTCATAGCACTGATTAGCACATGTGGTTCAGTAGTTAAAGTATTAGATTAGGACTCAAAAGATCAAGCTGCAAGTTCATCTTCAGCTATCAAAATTCACTGGAGGACTTTGGGCTATCATTATAACTTATTCAGACATTTCCTTGAATGTGTGAAAGGCACAAAGTGGGACACAGACAGGATTTGTGCTGAGGCCAGTCCTTTTTATGTCTGTAGAGAAAGGAGATCTGGAGATCAGAATATACTCATATTGACTTGAAGGCAAGAACACATGTTACCTAACCCAGAACATAGCTAAAATAGGGCCCTAGATCCCATCCCATTATGCTCACATCCAGACCAACATGAATACAGGTAATCCTTGATTTACAACAGTTCCTTTAGTGACCATTCAAAGTTACAATGGCACTGAAAAAAGTGACTTATGGCCATTTTTTTAACCCTTACGACCACTGCAGCATCCCCATGGTCACATGATCAAAATTCAGACACTTGGCAATGGACTCATATTTATGATGGTTGCAGTGTCCTGGGGTCATGTGATCACTTTTTGTAACCTTCTGATAAGCAAAGTCAATGGAGAATCCAGAGTCACTTAACCGTGTTCTAACTTAATAACTGCTGTGATTCACTTAACAACTCTGTCAAGAATGGTCGTAAAATGGGGCAAAGGTTACTTAAATGTTTCACTTAGCAACAGAAATTTTGAGCTCAATTGTGCTCATAAATTGAGGATAGCTTCTCTTCATCACTTCCATCTTAATGGAAGCTGAAAAAAAGCATGCATTCTACTGTGTCCTAAGTTTGAACTCTTCATTAGTTAGTTTTCAACCTAACTGACTTCTTAGTTAGGTTATTGTGGGGAAAATTAGGAGGAAAAAGTATTGGCTTTACAAATTTAAGAGTCCAGAAGAAAACTCCAGCAAATAAATAGATCTTGCTACCTTCTTCTTGGAAGACATTTCAACTGGAACCCCTTGTATTACACAGATAAGATAAACTCTTCATGCAAAAAAACTCCTCATTTATAATCATTTAAGCTACGTAAGTGCCTCTATATCTGCATACTAAATGCATAGTGATTAAATATTTAATTTTATTATGTTGATACTTTTGAGCTGGAATGAGCAAACATATCTACAAACATTTCAAGGTATCAAGTTCATTAGCGTCTATTTACAGAAGCAAAGTGTCAGTTTTGTAATAATTTTAAAATATTATGCTTTAAAAATTATATTTAAGCAGAGGAATATTAATGCAGAGCAGCATACAATAAGTGAAGGAAAAACATTTAACTGCCAGCCATTTTAAAAAGTACCAAAATTGGCATATGGAGCAGTAAAATGGTATTCCATTTTTTTCTGAAATTTATTTACTACATGAAGATCAATCAAAGAAAGCATACATAAATGACTCTAGTAGCAGAGCCAGACTGATATTATTTCTCTCTTTTTAAAAGCTTTCCTGAATTCTCTTTTCCAAAGGTTTTTTTTCAACAGTTTAATTATGGAGAAAGGGGAATCTTTTGCTTTAGCTATAGTTTTCTATATTTCTAATATTTTAATATATTTAGTCAGCTCAACGCTCACGTATCTTAAGTCAAATAAAAACAAGAAAATATATTTTAGAAAAATCTAAACTTGAAGTAGATAAAGGAAGTCATTCAACGGAACAGAAATTAGAAAACAAACTCTTGCTGACTGCAAATTGGTCTAATTGGCACTTAGACTTATATATCACTTCACAGTGATTTAAAGTGATATCTATCTATCTATCATGCCTTTAGCTCTTTGGGACTGAAAGAGGAAAAATAAGCAGAACAAGCATATGTAGATTTTAATTCTATTTAGAAAGTGCTGAAAAATTACTCCCTGCTCCTTTGGTTAGTTTCTAATTTTTATTGTCAACATATATGTTTAAAAAACACTTTTGCTTAAAGCATAATGTTAATAAAATAGAGAAAAACAACTAACTTATTTTATTCTTTGTGCTTTTATTCTCTGTTACAATTGTGCTAAAGACTCAGATGCATATTTATTTCAATATATTTAGATCTCTGTACAAGATTACCCTACAAATACTGCCAAGACAAATCCCTTCTCCTCCTTTACAATTTCTCAAAAGTTGAAAAAGAAACAAATGGGGGAAAATGACTATCAGTGGGACTAAAGGACAGCTGGTGTCATGTTTATCCATGACAATAATGAACTTTCAATCTGGTTGCTTTCAGCCAAGGGACATAAGCTAAAACAGGGCTCTCCAAGAATAAAGCAATTTTAAAATTTAACTGGAGCAGATGCTGATGTTTGCATTTTGGACAGTAATCACTTTCAATTAAGATCAGCTGTTAAAGGTTAAATATAATTTTACAGGTTACTGTATGCAACTCAATTTGAGGATTGCGAGGCATTCGTTTTTTCTCAAAGTTGGGTGATGAAACTGAACAATTATCCCTTTCACAAATCTGAAGATACTTATTCACTATGGCATAAAATAGCACATGGGACATCTTAAGGGACGTGAAAACCTAAAAATGTTTGGTTTTCTTCAGTTACGATAATGGCCGCAGCCAGTATTTCTATAGTGAAGGCCTTCTTATATTTATTTATTTATTTATTATTTTGCAT